ACTGCTTCAATTTCCTTAGTGGTTATAGATCTGTTCAGGTTTTCTACTTCTTCCTGGTTCAGTTTTGGTAGTTGATACATCTCTAGGAATGCATCCATTTCTTCCAGGTTATCTAATTTGCTGGCATAGAGTTGCTCATAATATGTTCTTATAATTGTTTGTATTTCTTTGGTGTTGGTTGTGATCTCTCCTCTTTCCTTCATGATTTTATTTATTTGGGGCATTTCTCTTTTCTTTTTGATAAGTTTGGCCAGGGGTTTATCAATCTTGTTAATTCTTTCAAAGAACCAGCTCCTAATTTCGTTGATCTGTTCTACAGTTCTTTTGGTTTCTATTTCATTGATTTCTGCTCTGATCTTTATTATTTCTCTTCTCTTGCTGGGTTTAGGCTTTTTGCTGTTCTTTCTCCAGCTCCATTAGGTATAGGGTTAGGTTGTGTATTTGAGAAAAAGGCTTGTATTGCTATATACTTTCCTGTTAGGATCACCTTTGCTGCACCCCAAAGATTTTGAACAGTTGTGTTTTCATTTTCATTTGTTTCCATGAATTTTTTTAATTCTTCTTTAATTTCCTGGTTGACCCATTCATTCTTTAGTAGGATGCTCTTTAGCCTCCATGTATGTGAGTTCTTTCCGACTTTCCTCTTGTGATTGAGTTCTAGTTTCAAAGCATTGTGGTGTGAAAATATGCAGGGAACAATCCCAATCTTTTGGTACTGGTTGAGACCTGATTTGTGACCTAGGATGTGAGACCTATTCTGGAGAATGTTCCATGGGCACTAGAGAAGAATGTGTATTCTCTTGCTTTGGGATGGAATGTTCTGAATATATTTGTGAAGTCCATTTGGTCCAGTGTGTCATTTAAAGTCTTTATTTCCTTGTTGATCATTTGCTTAGATGATCTGTCCATTTCAGTTGGGGCGGATGTTAAAGTCCCCTACTATTACTGTATTGTTGTCAATGTGTTTCTTTGATTTTTTATTAATTGTCTTATATAATTGGCTACTCCCATGTTAGGGGCATAGATGTTTACAACTGTCATATCTTCTTGAAGGGTAGACCCTTTAAGTAGGATATAGTGTCCTTCCTCATCTCTTATTGTAGTCTTTGGTTTAAAATCTAATTGTCTGATATAGAGATTGCCACCCCAGCTTTCTTTTGGTGTCCATTAGCATGGTAAATGGTTTTCCACCCCATCACTTTCAATCTGAGGGTGTCTTTGGTCTAAAATGAGTCTCTTGCAGACAGCATACTGATGGGTCTTATTTTTTTATCCAATCTGATACCCTGTGTCTTTTGATTGCGGCATTTAGCCCATTTACATTCAGGGTAACTATTGAAAGATATGAATTTAGTGCCATTGTATTGCCTGTAAGGTGACTGTTACTGTATATTGTCTGTGTTCCTTTCTGGTCTATGTTACTTTCAGGCTCTCTCTTTGCTTAGAGGACCCCTTTCAATATCTCTTGTAGGGCTGGTTTCATGTTTGCAAATTCCTTAGTTGTTTGTCCTGGAAGCTTTTTATCTCTCCTTCTATTTTCAATGACAGACTAGCTGGATATAGTATTCTTGGCTGCATATTTTTCTCATTTAGTGCTCTGAATATATCATGCCAGTCCTTTCAGGCCTGTCAGGTCTCTGCGGATAGGTCTATTGCCAATCCAATGTTTCTACCATTGTAGGTTACAGATCTCTTCTCCCGAGCTGCTTTCAGTATTTTCTCTTTGTCTGTGAGACTCGTAAGTTTTACTATTAGATGTCGGGATGTTGACCTATTTTTATTGATTTTGAGGGGGGTTCTCTGTGCCTCCTGGATTTTGATGCCTGTTTCCTTCCCCAAATTAGGGAAGTTCTCTGCTATAATTTCCTCCAATATACCTTCTGCCCCCCCCTTTTTTCTTCTTCTGGGATCCCAATTATTTTAATATTGTTTCGTCTTATGGTATCACTTATCTCTCGAATTCTGCCCTTGTGATCCAGTAGTTGTTGATCTCTCTTTTCCTCAGCTTCTTTATGTTCCATCATTTGGTCTTCTATATCGCTAATTCTCTCTTCTGCCTCATTTATCCTAGCCATTAGAGCTTCCATTTTTTTATTGCACCTCATTAATAGCCTTTTTGATTTTGACTTGGCTAGATTTTAGTTCTTTTATTTCTCCAGAAAGGGTTTCTCTAATATCTTCCATGCTTTTTTCAAGCCCAGCTAGTATCTTTAAAATCATCATTCTGAACCCTACTTCCGACATCTTACTAATGTCTGTATTGATTAGGTCCCTGGCAGTCGGTACTGCCTCTTGTTCCTTTTGTTGAGGTGATTTTGTCCATCTTGTCATTTTGTCCAGAGGAGAATAGATGAATGAGAGAACAAAATGCTAACAGGGTAACAACAAACCCAGAAAAACATACACTAAACAAATCAGAAGAGACCTGAAATCGGGGGAAAAGAAAGGGAAAGAAAGAAAAAAGAAAAAGATAAACAAACAACAACAACAACAACAAAAAGAATATGATCAAATATGATCAGGCTGGTGCACAGATCAGTGCCACACACCAGATTTTGGGTGTATTTTGGTCTGTTAGAAGAAAGTGCCTCCCAAAATTTTCAAGAAAGAAAAGCTTATGTATGTACAAAAATAAGGGTAAATACAATGAAGGGATGGAATATGACTGTAAAAATGAAAATTATAGAAGATTTTATAAAAGGAATTGATAAGATAAGAAGTTGGTTGAAAAAAGAAAGAAGAGGATTTTAAAAAAAAGGAGAGAATGTGAGCAGGCAGAAGACTAGAACAAAGCATACACTAGAGATTTAGGGTATATTTTCGTCTGTTAGAAGAAACTATATTCCAAAATTTTAAAGAGAGAACAACTTATATATATACCAAAAATAAGGTTAACTACTATGAAGGGATAGAATATGACTCTAAAAATGAAAAAAAAACACATTTTTTTTAAAAAAGTGAATGGTAAGATGTTGGGTGAAAAAGGGAAAAAAAAAAAATAAAAAAAAAAAAACTTTGAAAGACTAAAGAGTCATGGGAAAAATGCCATGAATTCTATGTGCAGTAGTCCCCTAGCGCTGGAATTCTGCTGTTCTCATTGATCGGTAAACTTGGTCTTTGGCTATTCTTGCTGATCTTCTGGGGGAGGGGCCTGTTGCCATGGTTCTTAGGTTTCTTTGCGGAGGCGGAATTGCCCCACCCTTGCCGGATCCGGGCTAAGTCATCTGCTCAGGTTTGCTCTCGGGGGCTTTTGTTCCCTGCAAGCTTTCCCTACAGCTTTGGAGGATGAGTGAAAATGGCAGCCTCTCAATCTCCGCCCCGAGGAGCCGAGAACTTGGGGCCCTGCTCCTTAGTGAGCCCCCAGAGAAAATCAGTCAGTTACTCCCGTCTTCCCGTCTCTGGCCGCACTCCGTGCTCACCCCGCCTGTGACCAAGCGTTTCCATCTCTGGCACCCAACCCCATGTGGTGTCTCCAAACCCAGCAGGTCCCTGTAGTGCGCTCCCACGCCGCTCCTCTGGGGGCGGGGGGGAAGGGGAGTCTCCCCGGATTTGCCACTTGTTGGGTCCCTGCTGGAAGAGCAGTGGCCCGACTGTGCCGCAGATCACGGTTTATGGCAACCCCAAGCTGAGAGCCCATTCCTTGGCTCCGTCTCTGCAGCCGGCTTCCCTGCTCCGATACCTGGGAGCTCTGCCGCACTCAGGCACCCCCGGTCTTTCTGTGACCCCGAGGGTCCTGAGACCACACTGTCCCAGCGAGGGTTCCACCCCCCTGCTTAGCCACTGGAGCGACGTCCCTCAGCGGACCCAACTTCTAAAAGTTCCGATTTTGTGCCCTGCTGTTCTATCACTTGCCAGTAGCGGCTGACGCCATCTATCTTTCCGAATATCACCTCCGATTCCCTTCTCCGCACGTCCTACCTTCCAGAAGGTGGTCGCTTTTCTGTTCAGAGAGTTGCTGCTATTCTTTTCTTTGATCTCCTGTTGAGTTCATAGGCGTTCAGAATGGTTTGATCCCTATCTAGCTGAATTCCAGGGACCAGACGAAATTTAGGTACCCTACTCCTCTGCCATCTTGCTCCTCCCCCTAACCTAGCAATCTTATTCTAAAATTTCCTTATTAAATTGCCTATGAATACACAGCTCCTCAAATGCTCTCTACACTAGCCTTACTACTTTACTTGCTCCCTTAGTAACTAATGAATTGAATAAAATATTTGATACATGTTCACTTCATACTTGTATGAGTCATGATTTTAATTTCTTAAAATTATGCTTTGAAAGGCGTAAGGAACTTTCCATGACATGCCTGACATGACCTTTTCTACCCACCACTCTGCAAATCCTATAGTCTCACAGAGCTATTACAAAGGTAAGGTTTTTGCACAGTATGTTGATAATATTGTCAATTATCTTCTTATTGGAATTATCAAACAACAGTCTCAAAGATAAATCAGAAAAGAATCTAAGTATATGTTATTTTCAAGACCATGTGATCTGACTTCTAAGACTTTCTAATTTGTTACATGTCACTCCTGATGCTTCTGTGAGTTAATTTTCTTTATTTAAACCAATTACTTAAAAAAGTGTTTCTTCCATCTGTTTCAGGTACCTATTTTTTTTTAAATGCAAAGAGCTAATACTTGGTTCAGATGTGAACTATAACTGCCTTTACTTTCATAAACATGATTAATTTACTTAAATTTTGATTACATATTTTGAGATTTAAGAAAAAAGAAAGAGATTAGCAAAAAAAAAAATCACAACTTCAACTTTCTAGTGTTACCTTTTTCACTAAAACCAAAAGTCTAGCCTAATGTGATTTTAGGCAGAAACTTGGTTATTGTCAAGTCTAAATGCACCTTGGTGAATTCAAGTGAACTAATTGTAAACACTAATTTCAATTTTTAGGTTTTAGCATTGGGAAAGAAGGCATTATTTCACTCCCACTCAATCCACAATCAGTAGTCCATTAAGGCAAAAGAGAAAAGCAAATTCCGTACCCTGACATCACTTCTAGGTGAAGTTGTCCTGAAACAGTTAAGAAAGCAGGAACACTGAAGAAATTCTTCTCAGGTACCTTAATTTTGCTTGAAGGCTGCAAATGAAAAACATGAGCCACAAAAAGCTATGAGATATTTTGTTCTGCTTTCACATCCACATATGTGCCACAACTAAAAATCACAATGTAATTAAATATATGTGAGGACAGGTCATTGTCATGAAAATAAAGGCAGTTCTCAGTACACTCCTAAAAGAGAAAATGCCTGCTTAGAAAGTGCTAAGGTCAAGGATATTTGCTTTGCATTTTCAAAACATACAAACAAAGGACAAAGTACTTTTGTCACAAGATATAGTTCTCCCTAAAAAGTGATTCTGATTGAGAGACAAGCCAAGGAAAGAGATTATGAATTAAAATTTTTAAATGTGAAGAATAATCTCTTAAAATTCTGACCTATGATTGAAATTTGATTTTCTCAAGGGAATAGCCTCTAGAACATGTGTTGTCATATTATTAAATTCTTAATATTTTTAATGCAGATTTTTATAAGTACATTATAAACTTTTACATACATTAATTTAACTTCCCCCAGAACTCAGAAGAGCAGAACTCTATCTTTAAAAGATATGGGAAGCAATTAATTTAAACATTTTTTATAAACTTGCAATATAGATAAGGTGATTATTCCAGCTGAAACAGGTAGGAAACAGGCCAGCCAACATTTATAACAAGCTAAAAAATTATTTGGGGGTCAAACGCAATTTATCTACTTTATTTTTTTAAAAAGATTACATGTTTATTTGACAGAGAAAGAGAGCATAAGCAGGGGGAGCAGCAGAGCAAGAGGGATCAATACCCGAGGTATTAACAGACTCTGAGCCACCGAGGTGCCCCAGAAACACAATTTAAATAGTATAATTAAGAAAGCTTCTGGATCCAGGTATGACTATTATACTCACTTTTTTGGATGAAAGTTAATTTCCCTACTCTTGTATTTCAAATTGTGCATTTATTTGAAAGTATTTTAGTGTAACAGTGCCGTTACTATAAAAGCAACAAAGCCAATTTTAAATACATAACAGAAAACATGAGACTCCTTTTAAGAGACTTAGTATCAAATACTGAATTATAGAAACACATGAAATGAAGTCATCTTATTTAATTCCATTGGTTCTAAAAATATTGCATAGCATATACAGGCATATATGTTTATGAATGAGAAATCTAGTTTAAAAATTACAAATTGAAATCATTCATTTATTTTGTAATTGCCTGTTATTTTTCAAACTTACTTTGATAGTGGTCCTAAATGTCCTATCACTGCTTTTTAAAAATCCATCTTTGAATCCCATATTCACTGAAAGGATACTGTTTCCAAGGACTCAAGTATACAAGACTAAAATATTTGCCTTGACCTGTATTTGGATTCCCAAAATAAAAAAATATGTTCTCTGTAGTTCACTATTTACTAAATAATTATGTTTCAAATAAGGCCCAGCACATGTATAAGAATATTATATTTTCTCCTTTCCTTCACCTCTTTAGTCTATAATTTGTATTGGTGTTCTATCTTGACTTCTCCTAAAGTGATTTCTCTCATTTCTTGTGCATTTAAAGTCTAGTCTTTATGACTACATTTTAGTCTTTCATTTATTAGCATTTGTACAAAATGGAATCTGATCCTCTTACATCTATTTTTTTTTTTAAGACTTTATTTATTTATTTGACAGAGACACAGCGAGAGAGGGAACACAAGCAGGGGGAGAGGGAGAGGGAGAAGCAGGCTTCCCGCTGAGCAGGGAGCCCGATGCAGGGCTCAATCCCAGGACTCTGGGATCATGACCTGAGCTAAAGGCAGATGCTTAACGACTGAGCCACCCAGGCGCCCCCCTTCTTACATCTGTTAAATCCAACTTATTTAAATAGGTATAAACTATCACTACTTCATCATGCCTTCCAATGTCATACACACTTACATACTAAAATAAGTACTACATTTTAAAAATTACTTCCTCTTCTCCTTTATATTACAATTTATGCATTACATTGATTTTTTAAGACTTCTGAATGAATTAAGTTATATTATCTATACATTTTATTTCGGAATATTAAAGGGACATTATGAAATACTTTAAAAAGTAATTGCTGAGAGTGGTGTCAGTAAACAAAGTGAGATAGGTAGCTCTGAAGGACTGTCCCTCCACAGAAAAACTGAAAATAATGAGTAAAAATTGTCAGAATCAACTGTGGGAACTGTGGAAAATAGTCAAAGGTTTCTTTTTTTTTTAAATGTCATTATTTTAAAATTTTATTATGTTATGTTAATCACCATACATTACATCATTAGTTTTTGATGTAGAATTCCATGATTCATTATTTGCGTATAACACCCGGTGCTCCATTCAATATGTGCCCTCTTTAATACCCATCACCAGGCTACCCCATCCTCCCACCCCCCTCCCCTCTAGAACCCTCAGTTTGTTTCTCAGAGTCCATAGTCTCTCATGGTTCGTCTCCCCCTCCAACTTCCCCTCCTTCATTTTTCCCTTCCTACTATCTCCTCTTTTTTTAACATATAATGTATTATTTGTTTCAGAGCTACAGGTCTGGGATTCAACAGTCTTACACAACTCACAGCGGTCACCATAGCACATACCCTCTGCAATGTCTATCACCCAGCCACCCCATCCCTCCCACCCCCCACCACTCCAGCAAACTTCAGTTTGTTTCCTGAGATTAAGAATTCCTCGTATCAGTGAGGTCATATGATACATGTCTTTCTCTGACTGACTTATTTCGCTCAGCATAATACCCTCCAGTTCCATCCACGTGGTTGCAAATGGCAAGATTTCATTCCTTTTGGTGGCTACATAATATTCCATTGTATGTGCACTCCGATGTTCATAGCAGCAATGTCCACAATAGCCAAACTATGGAAAGAGCCAAGATGTCCATCGAAAGATAAATGGATAAAGAAGTGGTATATATATATACACTGGGTGTTATACGCAAACAATGAATCATGGAACACTACATCAAAAACTAATGATGTAATGTATGGTGATTAACATAATAAAAAAATAAAGTCATAAAAAAAGAATTAAGATATTTTCAGCATCTAAAATTGACAAGTGATTAATGGACAGGACATATAAGGACCATGTGACAAGAAAACAAGAAAGAAAATAAGCTGCTCCCCAACTGGACAAGGGATATGAAAAGAGATTTACAAAAAAAAAGAAAATTCGAATGCCTAAGATGTATGAGGAAACACTCAAATTCACTACAAACTAAAGAAATTCAAGTGAAAATAAGGCATTTTAAGAAGAATTCATTACAGATACCAGATTGACAAAAATTACAAAGTTATTTAATGTCAAGTGTAGGTGCAGATTCAGGGTATGGCAGGCAGATATCTAAGACAGGCCCAAGATTCTCAGCCCCTGGTTTATTCAATCAACCACTAAGCCAGGTACTGCCATGAAGGATTTTGCAACTAAAGCTCCAAATCAGTGAGCACAGGCAGTAATGTCTCTGACATCAGCTGTAGTAACATTTTTCTACATGTTTCCTGAGGCAAAGGAAATAAGCAAAAATAAACTATTGGGACTATATCAAAATAAAAACCTTCTGAACAATGAAGGAAACACAAAACTAAAAAGTAATGTACTGAATGGGAGAAGATATTTGCAAATGATGTATCCAATAAAGGGTTAGTATCCAAAATCATATAAAGGACTTGTACAACTTAACACCCAAAAAACGAAGGAGCTGATTAAAAAATGGGCAGAAGACACAAATAGACATTTCTCCAAAGAACACATTCAGATGGGCGACAGAAACATAAAAAGATGCTCAACATCACTAATCAGGGAAATACAAATCAAAACTACAATAAGATATCACCTCACACCTGTGAGAATGGCTAAAATAAAAAATACAAGAAATAACAGGTGCCAATGAGGATGTGGAGAAAAAGGAAACCCTCTCTTGGGAATGCAAACTGGTATAGCCACTGTGGAAAACAGTATGGAGGTTCCTCAAAAAATTAAAAATAGAACTACCCTATGATGCAGTAACTGGGCTATGGGGTATTTACCTAAAAAATGCATAAAAATACTAATTCGAAGGGATACATGCATCCCTATGTTTATTGCAGCATTATTTACAATATCTAAACTATGGAAGCAGCCCAAGTGTTCATCAACACATGAGTGGATAAAGATAACATGGGAGATATACATATATATCTATGTATACGAGAATATTATTCAGCCATAAAAAAGAATGAAATCTTGCTATTTGCAACAACATGGACAAAGCTACAGAGTATAATGCTAAGTGAAATAAGCTGGAGAAAAATACCATATGATCTCACTCATATGCAGAATTCAAGAAACAAAACAAACAAGAAAAGGAAAAGAAAAAAAGAGAGAGGTAAATCAATAAACAGACTCTTAACTACAGAGAACAAGCTGATGTTTACTAGAGGGTAGATGGGTGAATTGGGGATGGGGATTAAAGACTATACTTACCATGATGAAAAAAATAAAAAAAAAATGAACAAAAAAATAAGGTGAGATGATACTTATTTGTCCTGCCTTACAGTTTATTTATTAAAAGATCCAAAAAAAATGAAAAAATAAAATAAAGTTCCAAATCAGATGCCCTCAAGATTTTGGAGATTTTCTGGATATTCCCAACCTAACCACATGAACCCTTTAAAAGCAGAAATGTTTTCTACAGATGGCTGCAGAAGTGGAAGTCAGAGATTTGAAGCAGGAGAAGGATTCAACAAGCTGTCGTTGGCTTGAAGATGGAGAAGGCCACATGTAAAGGTGCTCAGGACAGTTCCTAGGAGCTGAGAGCAAACTGGCCAACAGTCAGCAACAAGATGGGAACTTCAATCATAGAACTGCAAGGAACCGAATTTGGCTGATGGCAGAAACGAGTAAGAGAGAGAATGTCCAACTCCAGAGGAGAATGCAACTGGCACACACATTGCTTTCAGCCTTGTGAGACCATGAGTGGAGAACCCAGCTACACCATCCTGGACTAATGATATACAGAACTGAGTAATAACAAGTATTGTTTGA